TTCTCTCTCTCTCTCTCTCTCTCTCTCTCTCTCTCTCTCTCTCTCTCCCCCTCTCGTCAACCCATTGGTCGCGGTATTGTTACGTTTCCCCGCGTGGACCTAGGTTAAAATTAGCCATTTATTCGTTGACCGGTGACATCGAAAGTCAAGCGTGACGAAAGAAACAGAGGCAGTTTGCATGGCCTCGAAGAATACTAGAATCTCGACACACCTTTAGAGAGCCACGGTCGTTCACATTGTGGCTCGTGAAGTGCCGTGAAAAAGATCACGGGGGCCATTGTGCCCAGCCCTGCCTTTACAACCGGGCGGCGGGATGACTCCTAAATATTTTACAACTGCCTTACGGTCCTAACGCAAACGGCCGCACGTCAGGACGCCCATTTTTTCCTCCTCTAACATCTGTATAATATTTCACCTGGTGGGACGTGCTCGTGCCTCTTCCATAGAACCGCGATACAAGACAGTTATATTTCGCCTACGATCTCGATATTAACCATCGACCAACTCACTTTCCTTCCTGAAAATTTCAAAACCGAAGAAAAGGAAAAAGGGGGCGGTCTTATTAACCTCGCGAAGACGAACGTCGACTTGGCTCGACGAATCCGGCCATAAATTCCCGGATGAGGAAACGTTTCGCGTCTGATCCGGTTGAAAAAGTCTGTCGAATTACGGGCGAGCATCGGGCGTCGCGGCAAAAAGCGTGGAAAAGAAGAAGGATCGGAATGGTTGGGAAGGACGAAATCCTTTTGGGGTGGTGAGTTTGTCCATCGGCCGGTGGTCCAATTAGCGCAGCATCCGATAAACGAACTCGCGGGGTGGCTGCGCAATTGCTGGTTAGGCCGCCATATAAATTTCTTAGTAGAAGCCGGTCTCTGTACAACCGTCTTCTGCCAGGCTAACTGTGCCGTATACTGACCGGGCTGACTTTCTTGCGCGATACTCGACCGGCCGCGCCTCGCTAAAGGGTATTAAATGCCTTCCTTCTAGCCTGACCGATTCTATTCCATTCCGACGACAGTTACTATCTGGAATTTGCCGTCAAACGGAAAGTCTCGAGGAGCCTCTCCGCAGGCCAGGTACAGTTAACCGTGTTCCATCAACCACGAGCTTTTAAACGAATCAACCATCCAACCCCTTCTCCGATCGATTTCTCTCCTCGTAGTCGATTCGAAACGGAACAAAGGAAAGGAAGGAAGGAAGTATAGGATTCCGTGTTTCCTCTTTCGTGCACGTAACGAACAATTTATCCATGATCCATCGTGTAGAAAAATACATAACGTCGCGTGGGAAGATCTGGCCACTGGCCAAAATTACTGGCCTCTTCCGTTCGCGCTATTCGGCCAAGTTCAAAGTGACGAATAGCCTTTCGTTGTCCTACAACCACCGCGAACAATCCCGGATTTTAGTTTGCAGTTTGGCATCCGCGAATCGTTGCCGCGGATCGGACTCCATTTCTTCCTTCGTTCCAACTTCTCGACACGATTTCTTTTAACAACGAGAGTAGTTAAGTAAGTTCGATTTTGAAATCGAACGAACGGCCACGATAAGTTGAACAATAGAACCCCCGCCAACCGTTGCATCGTATCGTATTTTTTGTGAATAGAGCGATTGGGAAATTTCGATTCCGTTGAAATCCTTGAAGAAATTGCAACTCGGAATCAGGTAACGATTGTGTAGTAAAACGTAAGTCTTTTTTTCCGCTCCACCCGTCTCCACCTGTTTTATTCGTTATTGTCATCGTGACGAGCCTTTCGTGTAATTTTATAAAAATAAATTTTCTATTATTTTTATAAAATTAATCGTTACATTAAATGTTCACCACAGATAGTTTAACAATATATTAAGCGATAAAACATATATTAATCGAAGCACTATTGCTTTGACAAATTAATATTTATGTAATATTTATATTTAAATCGGTTAAATACTTATTATATGTTTTATACGACGTAACAGAAATACAGAGGAAAAATATTTCTCTGATATTTTCGTTTGAATAAAATTGTCTCGATCCGTTTTGGCAAGAAAAAAATAAATATAATTTCAAATGTGTTATAATAAAAGATGCAGTTTTATGCACAACGATTTTCGTTCTTATTCGCTACTTAAATGCAATTATGAACTTTTCACATTAAATGTTCTAAAGATTCTTCAAATAGCGTAGATTCTTAAAGCGTAGAGAAGCAATTATTTATAACGCAAATTTAAAATTATTCCGTTTAGAAAACTTTCGTAATAAAGTGGTACAAGGTTGTGATACATATTTGCAATTTTGCAACATTCTGCAGCATAAGATTAATTCCGATAACATAATCTATATTAAATCCAGACAAGCTGTCTTACGAAATACGATGTTATTCGATGAAAAGTAAATGGTACATGTATATACGTGTCGCACGTGCCGTGTAAGCTCGATTTCATACGTAAATATTACGTATCTTTTTAATTGTTCAAGATTTTTACAAGTAAAATGTATCGTTTATATAACCAGCCAGAATGTAGAAGAAATTTGTATTGTATTTGTAATAACTAGGTCAACAGAGTACAACAAACAAGACATTAGTTATTTTACAAACGAATATATATCTGGTATTAAATTCTTGAAATATATCCAAATTCTATTTACCGAAAATTTATTATCGCACTGTGTTAAGTATGAAATATATAATGGGATATATGTGATATAACACTCGATATTGCACTATTTTAAAAAAATTTATTTTCAATATAATAGTCATATGATTACATTATACGTTAGATGCACTGCAAGAAATTTCAGCGTCGATTAGAGGAATCAGAATTGAAACATGTTTATGATGTAACTATGCGTAATGTAAATATTGTTTATATTTATCCTCGCGTTTAGAATAATTAGTAACTATTCTAATAAATGATAATTCAATGCACTTCAATTTTTGGTAAATATTTTTCTCACATAATGTGTAAATTGTGTAACAATGTTAACAGTAATATCAATAAGAAATGTGTGAAATAATAATTTCATGATGTCAAAAACAATACTTTTATTATATTCGTAACATAGAGCATTGCGACAAGTAGAGAATTTCTTTAAATAAAAACTTGTTGTTATTATTAATATCAAATATTTGGTACTAATGATATAATACGTTGTATTCTAAATACAGATAAATTATGAATCTATGGAATTATTGTGACATACGATCATTCGTTAATATAGATGTTATCATTTTTTGTTTAGGATATAGGTGTATTGCTTATCCACGGATGGATAATTTGAAGTAAAGATGGAGGAAGATATAAGTTCAATTGAGGAACAGAATAAATCGTGTCGAACTAATAAAATATCTCATAAGTCGAATATTCGAAAATTTTTTGGAAATGGTAAGTATATCGAGTATATTAAGTCAAGAGATAAATTTCAACAGTTTCAGATTAACGTACACGTATATTTTTTATTCTAGTTTGGCGTAGAATTAAAGATGAAATTAATGAGGAAGAACGTAAACGTTCAAACGAGTACGGAGATTATTATTTCTGTAAGTGATTATTTTCATAAATAAAATATATAACAATTTTGAAATAATTCATATAATAAATTAAGAATAATTACGGATTAAAAGTTCTCTTTCAATTGAATATGATGAGAAAAAAATTTTTAGAATATTTGAATAGAAATAATGATTTATCAATTTAATTAATATAAAAATGCGATGAAATATTCATAGCCACTAATATTTGAATCATTGACAATTCAGACATATTACAATTTTGAAAGAGAAATGACGAAAGTATGTTCGATTGACATCGTGTATCTTATCTGCGGATACGCGCCGTATAGACGAAGAGGGCAAATAGTGGAAGAAAGACAGAGATAGAGTAAAAATATTGAAATCAGCGCCATCTTCAGAGTGCCGCAAATGAAACATAAAAAGAAGAGACAGAAAATAGTTGGAAAAGGATGGAGATAAAATAAGAATTGACTTTCAGCGTCATCTCTTGAGCGTTAAAAACATCATTCTAAAAGATGGCGTTGATCATCAATTCCTACTGCATCTTATGTTACCTTATAGAGATATCTTTAACTCAAACGATGGTGCTAGTAGTTATTTCTTAATTCTATCTTTATCTTTCTTTCATTATTTTCTGTCTTTCCTTTGTAAGTTTCATTTGCGGCACTCTCGAGATGGCGTTAATTCTCATATTTTTATCATATCTCTATCTTGTTCCATTATTTGCTTTCCTTGTCTACACAATAAGAATAATAATAATAATAGAATAGAATAAATAGTATGAAACGAACAATATAAAAATGTTAATTCATCCTTAATTTCTTAAGTAACAATCAATAATTTCTAATCTTAACATTTGTATCTAATAGTTCTATAGCTGTAATTATGCAGTGACACTTCATTAAAAAGATATGATTATTTTTATATCATATATTGTTTTTATTTTACAATTGCTAGATATTCCTTAGACATTTATTCTATCTCGTATATATTCATCATTATAAGATATAACAGATAAATCTTCAATTCATTTGATATTTGAATATGATATATGATTTCTCTAACTTTTAGGATTAACTGGATTATAACTACCAGTCATAATTCATTTCTAAAAGATACATGATATTCAAATTATAAATTTACACTTTAAATATTTCATAATTAATATTTATAGTGAATTCTATTTTCTATAACCAGTTCCATATAACTAATACTAAGACCATTTGTATTTTTCTATAAATTTGAAATATATTTTTTATTGAGAATAATTAAAATTAGTATTTACTGAATCATAGAATCAATCTTTTTTACGCATTTTTTTTGTTTTTGTAATTTCTAACATTGTTTGTAATCACAAATATACTGTTTTTATAAATATCAAAAACTTATTATCATATTCTTTAATAAAATATCGAAACTTATAGTTTTGAAATAACACGTTCAATTGATATAATTTCATAAATAAATTTTTTATAAATATATTTTAATTTGAAGAACAAGTATAGATAAAGACAACAAATGATAGAATAAGGATAGAGATAGGATAAAAATATTGATATCAACGCCATCTTCAGAATGCCGTAAACGAAACTTAGAAGGAAAGGATGGAAAACAATGTGAAAGAGATAAAGAATGAATTGACTATTAGCGCCATCCTACGAATGTCAGAGACATTTCTTCTACGTAGGATAAAGTAGAATAAAAATTGTAGATCAGTGCCATCTCTTGAGTATATTTAAAAAGATAATTATTTGAAAAGATATCTTTAGTACTCAAGAGATGGCGCTAAAGATCAATTCTTATTCTATCTCCATCCTTCTCCAATCATCTTTTGTCCTTTATTTTTGTGTTTCATTTGCGGCACTCTGAAGATGGCGCTGATTTCAATATTTTTACTCTATCTCTGTCCTTTTCTATTATTTGCTCTCCTTGTCTATATTTGCTCTGCAAGATTTATCCGCTCAAGGGGACGATTTCGATGTCCGATTAACTTTATTGTCTTACATAATTTTAATACTTAATTTTTTTGAAATTCGATCAACCGTGTATGGTTGTTTGTGATAAGAGCAATAAATTAAATATAAAAATTTTCAATATAAAATTATGAAATATATTATATATTGTAAAAAATTAGAACGCAAAAGATTTTTAAAAAATTATTGTATTAGTGGAAATTTTTTTTTTTTGTTTTCTGACATATTTATTATATATAAAATAAAAATTTCGATATTTTTTAACATTTTATTAATCGTTTTATATTTATATGTAATAAGTATGAATTTATAAAAAATACAATTTCAATTTCGTAGAAAATGTATTTGTATATAAAGTAATTATTTTCATTAAGAAAGATAAACACGTATTATAACAAGTACATTTTCCTACGATTCAATAAATATGTATATCTTGAGTTATTATGACCTCAATACGCTGTATTTGGGCTAAGTAAGAATAATCGATAAGTTTATATGACATTATGAAAATTAAGTGCCCTTTTAACCAGGATAAATGATGTAATTTGCATTTCTTAAGAATAAGGGAATGAAGTGGGCTGTATAAATATTACATTTTATTATAAATTTCGTTTCGATATGTTGACAAAATTTTGAGTAACGTAAACATAGAACGCAGTTCAAAGACTTTCAATATCACAGCATAGAAACCTTTTAATAAAATTTTTGTATTTTAATTTTTTTCTTTTTGGTCGAGTTGGCGAATGAAAGTGGCGAGAGAAACTCTCGTTTGGGGAGGAGTGATGGGGCTGATGAAAGTTTTTGAGAGAAAGTAAAGAAGAAGAAGAAAAAAAAAAAATAAAAATAAATAAAATAAAATAAGATTTGGCGTTTTTCTCACTTTAGTCGATATGCGGTTGATCGAGATTTGTAAATTACAGATAAAATTTTTGTTCGAATGAGTTGATCCATATAACGATATTTATCCGTCAAAACATATCGATTTACATTAAATTTTTAATCGCTCTCCTTTTTTACTACCTTCTCTAAATCTCTAATAACATTTAATTGTTCTACTTTAATTGGCAGCTGATGTCTTGTATTTCTTTTCATTCAAGTTTAATTACCTCATTTTTGGTACAGATGAGTATTTGATGAAAAGTAATCGGGTAGATGAAAGGATACGACTCGCGGCACTTTAACTTGAAAGAATGATGTTGCAAATATTGTAAAAGAAAATACAAGGATAAAAAGAATATTTAACGTGCACGTTACATGATTATATTACGTAATGATTCTCGAACGAATTGCTTGCGAAGTTCATCTTCTCAGCTTATTTCCCGCTACGGAGAAAGGAGGTTAACAAGCATGGAAGTAACGCTCCATGTATGTAAATGGATCTTCAGTAGGCTTAAACTGAAGTGTTGATTTCGTTGTATGTGCGAATATCGATCGATCCGTTAAAAATGTTTTCAGCTGAGACAGCGTTATTCAAAATATCTATAAATATCTCTGTACACATATATATATATATTTTCGAATACACTATGCATATTTAAACTAACTGAAAGAGAGTTAACGAACATTAGACATTTGCGCAGATCGTGCACAAATTTCCCGCAACATTCGCAATATTGAATCTAATTATTATTAAATGTTCAACTGCAATATGAGTTTATAATCCGATATCGATGAATATAATACAAAATGATTTATATATAGTTTATACAATTATATATAGTTATGAATTTCAATAAATAATCCTTTATTTCACGGGAAACTCAAGAAAGAATAATCTTTCGCCCGTATTCCAGAGACTATGATTAAGTTCTCGGTAGATAGATATATACTCGTTGATGAAAGTTTATAAAGTATGAATCGAAGAATTATAGTTTGGTCGGAAAAAATAAAAGTTATTACTAGCCAACGAGAATTAAGAATTCGTTGTGTATGATGTAACTCGTGCAATTCTCTTCTGGGGAGTTTTGACCTCGCTCGTACTAGATTTACTCGAGCAGTCGATCCTCAGGAGGCATCAACTTTGCCCAAATGGACAATAATATACATCCCTTGAAACGCTATTGTTGTTTTGAACAGTCGCATACTTTAGTGTTCATTTGTTTCAACAATGGGATTGAAAATGAGGAAGAGACAAAAAAAAAAAAAAAGGAATTGCGATAAAAGTATAAAGTATCGCACAAATATTGCACGTTTCGGATGATAGATCGAGCCCAAGGATTGAGCATTAAGGATTACTCACTCGACTTGTTATCCTATATGTTATCCTACCTCGATCTACACGCTTTATTCGCAAAAGTATCCGTTAAAAAGTTTTATCGTGCCGTTACGCGAGCCGCTTTACACAGTCGTGGTTTTAGAAAACTTTTGCAATTAACGCGGGTGTCAAGCGGAGAATGTTAATTTGACCGATAATGAGTTGGCAACCTCTTGGCCATCGTTATCTATGTTTTGCAATAAATTTTTGCAATATTTTTCGACGAATCACCTCGAAAGATGGCACACGAGTCGTAACGACGTTTCGTAAAAATTAGAATTAGAATTTTCTCGATGCAATTTATTTTCTAAATTTTGCCTCGCGACCAACTCTATCTATATCGAATCCGAACTTTCCGCAATCTCTTCCTCGTTGAATATAGCTGTACTAGAAGTCTCGAGTGCTCTATTACCAAAGTCGTCCCCCGATTTTGGTCCTCCTCAAAGATTGAACTTACCCTTAGGAAGTTTTCGAAACAGGTGTTGGCGTTTTATCAAGTTTGGAGCATTGTTTCGAAAATACTTTGAATAACAATTATGGAAGCGGTGGAAATTTCTGGAATATGCGAAGAGCCATGGTAGAATATTAATTTCACATATCCGTGGACATATAAGATATACCTGCATAGCAAAGTAATACGAAATCGAGGGCCACGTTTGGATTAAGAAAATATTATTATTGTAGATTCTTGAGTTTATATACGTAAAGGTATTTTGATATTCTTTCTTATTTCGATCAAATCATATCATATCAATTCCCCGATGATAATGTTATTGCAAATTATTACGATTAACGGAATT